CTGGGGGGGGGGGGGGGGGGGGGGGCTACACAATTATGGGATTGTGGGCCATTCATTCTCTATACAAGCAATGCGAGACTTTGGTTTGGATTGCCAGTAGCAAGTCGGACCCCTTCAAAGTGGGAGTTGGACTCCGCCAGGGCTGTCATTCTCTATACAAGCGATGCGAGACTTTGGTTTGGATTGCCGGTAGCAAGTCGGACCCCTTCAAAGTGGGAGTTGGACTCCGCCAGGGCTGTCATTCTCTATACAAGCGATGCGAGACTTTGGTTTGGATTGCCGGTAGCAAGTCGGACCCCTTCAAAGTGGGAGTTGGACTCCGCCAGGGCTGCCTGTTCTCACCGATTCTGTTCACAACTTACATGGACAGAACTTCTTGGTGCAGCCAGTGGGTTGAGGGAGTCCGGTTTGGTGGCCTCAGGATTTCATCTCTGCTGTTTGCAGGATCTTCAGTTCTCACTGGAGTGCTTCACAGCTAAATGCTTCACAGTGAAGAGGCTGGGATGAAGATCAGCACTTCCAAATCTGAGTCCAYGGTTCTCAGTCAGAAAAGGATGGATTGCTCTCTCCAGGTTGGGTGTGAAGTTCTGCCTCAAGTGGAGGAGTTCAAGTATCTCTGGGTCTTGTTCACRAGTGWGGGAAGAATGGWGCGTGAGATTGATGGATCRGTGCAGCTTCTGCAGTTTTGCAGACTTTGTACTGGTCTGTTGTGGTGACGAGAGAGCTGAGCTTAAGGCAAAGCTCTCTGTTTAGCGATCAGTCTACGTTCCTACCCTCACCTATTGTCTCAAACTTTGGGTAGTGACTGAAAGAACAAGATCGTGGATACAAGCGAAATGAGTTTTCTCCGCAGGGTAGCTGGACTCTCCCTTAGAGATAGGGTAAGAAGGTCAGTTATCCGGGRGAGACTCACAGTAGAGCCGCTGCTCCTCCACATCGAGAGGGGCCAGTTGAGGTGGTTTGGGGATCTGGTAAGGATGCCTCCTGGACGCCTCCCTACGGAGGTGCTTCAGGCATGTTCAACTGGGAGGAGACCCAGAGGAAGACCCAGGACACGCTGGAGAGACTGTCTATTGGCTGGCCTGGGAACACCTTGGAGTCCTCCTAGAAGAGCTGGAAGAGGTGGCTGGAGAAAGAGAGGTCTGGGCTTCCCTGCTAAAGCTGCTGCCCCCGCGACCCGACTTCAGATGAAGCAGAAGATGGATGGATATTCACAAATAATAAAGAAGTATTCTTAATTTTTTTTTAAAAAAACAACAAAAACACTCACACCAAGCAAAGACAACATTCATTTGTTCATAGAAGACAAAGGGTAAGGATATCTTTATTTACAGTAACATATTTCCCAAGTTTAAAC